GATGCATCGCTATAGACTGCGAAGTTTTCAACTCCGTCAGGTAAAAAAAGAATAGGTGCTTCACACAACTTCTTCTTTAATTTCTCGAATGCTTCTTCATGTTTTTCACTCCATGTATATGTAGCTCCTTTATGGGTCAAAGCTGTCAATGGAGCAGCTATCGGAAAAAAGCTTTAGATAAATCCAGGAAGATCTTCGGGAAAGACTTCCGGATATTCACACACCATTGGTATTCTTTGTATCTTTTTCTTCTCTTTCTTTGCATCAATCACGAATGCCAAGTTTGATGTGAATCCTTTAGACAAACATTTTCTGGATTTCATCAGGGAAATGATTCTATAACTCACTCTACGTTTGTCCCCGTACACCATAAATGACTCTTTTCCAGGTGGGTTTACTCTCACTATCTTCTTCTTGCATATTATTTCGGCATCGTTGGCGCTAAGCCAATCCATTCCCAATACGATGTCGAAACCGTTCAACTCAATGGGCAACAACTCCTCGTGGAATTTATTCCCATTCAATTTGATGATGATGTTTTTAATGCAATTGCTAACAGGTATGAATTTTCCACTGGCAACTTCTACAACTAGAGCTTTATCAAGTTTATCTACAGGCAATGCTAGTCTTCCACCAAATTTGTGCGATATAAAGGAGTAATTTGCTCCCGAATCAAACAATATATTGGCAGACAATCCATTTACGAGAAAGGTACCTAAAGCGACATCTGTTGCATCCTTTGCGGCTTCCAGTGTCATCTGCAATGCTCTTGCTTTTGACTTTGGTGAAACATTAGGCCTTGTCGCATCCTTCTTCTTCGGGCAGTCCCTCGAAATGTGCCCATCTTCATTGCACCCATAACATACGTTCTTGTTGAATGTGCACTCATTGGCATAATGCCCAGACTTTCCACACTTGACACAGGTTACCTCCTCGCTACATTTTCCAAAGTGCTTCTTTTTTCACTTATCGCACCATCTTGCTTCACCTCCTTCTCCTCCGAATTTCTTCGAACCAGACTTCGAGAATTTTCTCTTCTTGTTGGACCTTGAAGATCTATCAAACTTCCTTTTCTCACCAACCTCAGCTCTCTCCAGACCCTTTTCCTATAACTGGGTCTCAACATTCTTAGCTGCTCGAACAGTTGCCTTCAAGGTAGTTTTCATTTTGATCGTTGAGCCAAAGTCTGTTGGCAATCTGTTAGCAAACTTCTCTATATTGGAGAGTTCAGTATGCACCAAGTAGGGAAATAACTTCATCCTTTCGGTGAATGTAGTGGCATAGTCATCAACACTCATCTTTCCTTTCTTCAGGTTCTGAAATTCATTGTTCAGGTCTATCAGATCTACCTCCGAGCAGTATTGCATTCTCAACTGCTCCATGAAGGCTTCCCAAGACATCCTCAGGCCTTCTCCTTGTGGAATCGTATATGCCAACAACTTCCACCAAGTCAAAACCCCGGTCTTCAGTTGTAGCTTTAAAATACCATCTCCATTTCGAAGATCCAGTCCATAATCTGTACTGGTTTTTGGCTTCCCGAAAGACTCGGTGGTTTAGCACCCAAGAAGTTCTTATACATACGCCCATACCTATCAATCCCTCCATCTTGGTTATTCCTTCCAACCACTAGCGGTTCAGCTTGGCCAACGGTTCTGCCGTAGTTTCATTCTTCCGATTAACCCTCATTTAGTTCAGGCTGTTCAACAGGCACAGTATGTTCGTCCATATTCTGTTGAAGTAGACGACTTGTCTCTTACATATGGCGATCCAACATCATTTGAATCATTGCTTGTACTCCTGCCATAGTGATTGGCTCGGGTGCAACTACTACTTTTGGTGCACGCTCAATCACAGGCCGTTGATTAACATTTCCATTAGCGTTTCCGCTTCGTGTTCTCACCATGTTGATCTATACACCAAAGTAGGTGAATTTAGATCATTATTTACGATAGACGTTTATTCCTCCTTGTCACTCCGAAAAGTTACATGCTAGTTCTAATACCGTAATTTGTACGTTTAGAATTCTAAACATATAAAGTTTCCAGATCCGGTCAGCAACAGACCATAGATCCAATCAAATAATAGCATATAAGGCATCTTTATAGCTATAACATAGATCATTTAGCTCATAATAGCAATTTAGGCATCTTTCCTAAAATAAGCTTCTCTGCGTGATGGCAATTTGACAAATTTCTCATCACGTGAACTTTAATAAATTGTTATGAACCTCATTTCACGCCCAGTAATATCTAATGAAGCACAAACATTAAAATGCAAGCTAGTCCAGGCAAGACAAGTTTTCTATATCATTAAAATAAGAACACGGAAAATGTAAATATGGATAAAATCTGAATTAAATATTGCACCACCGTTACACATGCATCATGGCAACTCTCTCGTTAATGATTGATATTATTTGAAGCTCTAATACTAGTCACAAGTTGGCATTCACATCCCCAAATTTTGTTGGTGATTTTAATGTTATCATTTTATGTAAATGAAATTAACACAAGGTTGTTGGTGTGGGGGTGAACAGTTGTATATAAAATGAGTTTAATCTTAGAGCCCCTAGCGGGGTCGATAGTCATTGCCCTAAAACCTCGACAAAATTTTGCACTTGGAATGTAGTTAAAAGACTTCATCAGAATGAAGGAAAGTTGAAGAAACATACATGTTGTGGATCTATGTTAACACAGCTCAGAGGAAGCTCTAGCTGCCTGATAGCAAAAGTTGTCGATCTAACTGGTTGTCTTTCCAAGCTGTCTATGGCCAGCTCCGACCAGATAACTCAAATTATTTGGACAGTTTTTCTAGAAAACTGTTTTCCGATTATGGAATATAAATTTTGTTGTCCTTAATCACTTTTGGATAGATGAGTATATACTCATATTTCGTCTAATTTGGGTCTTGCTTACGAAAATTAACATTTCATATACTTTTCCAGAGACGTACTTTTTTTTTTGCCTAAAACATAGAGTGATTTCTCGGTAACCCAAGCATTGTAAGGGAGAAATGTCAACACGATCTGTGAAGCAACCCATATAATTGATTGGCAATATTGTGTTTTTGTACCCCTTTTCCTGAAAAATGTTACATCCCACTTTTACAAAAACAAGTGCATCAAATAAAGTTTATCTTATAAAAGTATAAAACACAGTTTCCATACAAAATGTGTACTCTTATATATAAATGAGAATATAACAAGTTAGATCATACATGGTAAACAATGCACATACAATATAATGCATGTGTCTGGCATTACCACAAAAGATAATATCCCAAGGAAATATCCACCAAGGATTCTACATATCTCCAGCTAAGCCTTCACATGTCCTTTGCGATTACGTCCCGTACTTGAAACTAGTGTTATACTGGTCCAGACGTCGGATATATCAACATGATGATATGCTTTTTTGGTCTTTAAATGGATTAATTATAATTATTTATAGCAACATACTTATTTTCTTTAACGATTAATAGCAATTTATTTATCTTAACCAATAATAGCAACATTCTTATGTTTTTAAACCATTAATAGCAATGCACTTATCTTTTTATTCAATACTAGCATCATACTTATTTTTTAACCATTAATAACATCACAATTATCTTTTTAACCAATAATAACAATGTACTTATCCTTTTCACCAAATAATAACAATATACTAATCTTTTTATCCAATAATAACAACTTAATTATCTTTTAGCAACATACTTATCTATGTTTGATGCTATAAATGAAATTATGAAAGTGGAATCAAATAATAAATCACTTATTTTTACATCATTCATTTTACATCATTCAACCCGTCCACCGGACGAATATAAGACTAGTTACTAATTAGAAAGGGTTAATGAGTTAAAAAACACTTAAAAACAAAACAAAAAAAAGTAATATAAAAAGAACGGGAGCATGATAAAAAAAGGATTGGGGTAGATCAATGTTTTAAAAACCGGTTTGAACCGGCCGGTCGAACCGGTTGGACCGGAAACCGGGAGAGGGAGCGGTTCAACTATCACCGGTTTTACATTGATTTCTGAACCGGATTGAACCGACCGGTTTTTAGAAAAACCGGTTGAACCGGTCAAAATAAACCGGTTGAACCGGTTAAACCGAATAAAAACACATGAAAAAAGAATCATTTACATAATAAACTTTGGTGATTTTTTTCAAATCTATTTAGTTTTCTCTAAATAAAAACATACGGTAAATGTTATTTTTTTGATGTGTTTGTATTCATCAAAAACTATATTTCGTTTCGGTATTATACTTTATTTTCTTTTTGACGTATATGGATTGATGTAAAACACTAAAACTTATGGCTATGTGTTATTTTAATGTATTTGGATTCATCTACAACTTATTTTTATGAGTATTTTTAATGTTTGAACTTGTAAATATCAAATTCATAATTTCTATATGTATGTATGTGTAGGAAAATAGAAAAAAAAACATGAAAAATATAGAAACCGGTTCACCCGGCGGTTGAACCGGTTAAACCGGTTGAACCGGGAACCGGTCACCATACCGGTTCAATTAAAAAACCGGTTTTTAAAACATTGGGTAGATACACCGATTACACCCTTCGAGATTTATTTCATGTGGACAACAACACTTGAAAAATTATTTGTGGACAATAATCAATCTCTTCGAAATTTATTTCTGTTGTTGAATATGTAATAATTTTATAACACGTATAGTTCAATAAAAAAATCTCTTTCTCCTCATTAATTCTTCGTGATGCAGGCCCTGTTAAATGTTAATGGATACAGTTGAATGAATGGTTGTCTCCCCCTCGACCATGCGATAATTTGCACTATGTGTCTGAAATGGAAGGAATTAAATGAGAACGAAGAGAAAAAAGGGAGACGATTGTGTTGGTTAGTTGACAAAATTCTTAAACACCCACCCGCCACACATACGGTGTGGGACCCCACACAACTCTATGTACCCTATAAGGGGTTTTTTTTTTCTTTAAAAAAAAAAACATTAAAAACCACTCAAATAATTGTCTATATATTCACTCTCTCGTTACTTAATATGGCGAAAGTTTCTCTGTACTTTTTGGGTCAACTTCATTGATAGGGATTGTAATCGGAATTGAAGAAGAAAAAAATTATGTATGGAAGAAACGGAGGTGGTGGTGTTGGGGTGGCAGCTAAGCATGTTTAGTGCAAAGGTTAGAATTGCTTTGGCTGAAAAGGGCATCAAGTATGAGTACAGACAAGAAGACATACCACACAACAAAAGCCCTCTTCTTCTCAAACTCAATCCGGTTTATAAGAAAATCCCAGTTTTGATTCACAATGGAAGACACGTGTGTGAATCTAAAATCATAGTTGAGTACATTGATGAGACATGGAAGGATAAATCTCCATTGTTACCTTCTGATCCTTATCTCAGATCTCAAGCCAGGTTCTGGGCTGACTATACTGATAAGGTAAATTCCGTTTCCACAATGATTTGTTGTGAAATAATAGTAATAGTAGTAACTAATTGTTCTATAGAATATTATACTAACTTAGAAGTTGTTAACAAAAAACAAAAAGCAGATTTATGAGATTGGAATGAAGTTAATTATGGGCTTAAAAGGTGAAGAGATGGAAAAGGCAAGACAGGAGTTCTTAGGGTGTCTGAAAGTGTTTGAAGGGGAGCTGGGGGAGAAGCCATTTTTTATGGGTGATGCCTTTGGGCATGTTGATATTGCATTAATATCCTACTACCACCATTTTTATACATATGAGACCCTTGGGAACTTCAGTCTTAAGAACGAGTGTCCAAAGCTGTTTGCTTGGGCTACAAAATGCATGAAAAGGGAGAGTGTTTCCACGATTCTTACTGATCCAAACATCATTTATGAGGCTATAATCATGTTTAGAAAGAGCATGAATTTAGAAGACTAGTTGGGTGTAATGAATGTTCGATTTGAATTTCAATGGTGATTCCAGGTCCATCTGGATCGTGATCTGGGTTCACTTCGTTAAATTAGGGGTGTTATGTTAGGTGATCAATCCGTATCTTGTGGGTTGCTTTCATAAAAATAAGTGGATGAGGTTGGAAGAAATGAATCCATATCTTGTGGATTGTTTTTCAACGGTTAGTAATAATATCTTTTATTGAAGTTTGAAAATGTAATTTGGTATGTTTGGTTGTCAAGATATTGCATGCATGCCTTCTGGTTTGTACTATAAGATTATATGTAAGATTATATATGTTTGTTCTATAAAATGACAATGCCACTCGATAGTAATGAGTTTTAAGAGTATTAAGCACTTAATTTTTAATTACTTCCATTTGTAATGAAATTCTTTACCTTTTTAACATGGGTTATTGTCATCAAAACCTTATAAACTATAGCTTTCGGTTTTAAATAGTGATTGAATATTTTTTTTGTGTATTCTAAACCATTGAACTATGAAATTATATGCCAAAAAACCATCTATCTCATCTAATAAACAAAACCCATTTTTGCAATGTGTCCCTATTCTACATTGCCACTTTGCCACGTGTCATCTTATAAAAAATCCATATACTTCCGATTTAAATAAAATAATTCAACAATTCAACAATTAATCATAATTATTCGATAATTAGATAGTAGATATTATTGAAATTCCCGAATTTATATGAAGTTGTTATTTAATGGTTCAAGGTTTCAAATTCAAATTCCAGGTTTCAATTTATTTCTTTTTTCGTTGGATAAGATTGAAATGCCGGTTTCCATTCCTTCTTCTTGGTTTTCAATGACATTTTTGGTTTGAATTCCTTTATTTTCAAAATGTCGGTGGATTTTGTAATTTAACTTAACGTAAAAAGACAAAGTTTCACAAATGGTCCTTATGAAATGAAGGTATTATAGTCTTAAAAAAGCATAACACATTTACTTGACAACGTTAGTTATAAGGAATCCAAAGTTAAGGACCATTCCTGCAAGAAAGTTTCAAAATGACTGTGTGAGAGAAATTTTTAAAACCATAAATACCAACAATGAAATTTAGTTTACTTTTTTTTTATGTTATTTATATTATTACAAAGGCTATCTTCCAAGTAATACAACCGAATTCCGAAAAATGATTAAATAAAAAATAACTAACGCATTTCTGGATCTGAAATTTGAATTAAAATGTTGATTGGAGTACTGGACACATATGTATACGTGTGATATTATTTTATTAGCTTATGTGAAATTTGTATAGATTTTTATATGGATAATAAAAAATTAATCGAACTATGTATTTTTGTATTATGATAAACTACACATAATTTGTATATTTGGTTACATATCCTATTTATTTTTTAAATCCTTTTAAAGATTTGAAAGAATCCCAAAAAATCATCATTTTCAATTCAAATTTTAATAGATACATATCGAATACTCCAATAATACGTCTTCAATTTTCGTTCCAATTCCAATTGTCGACTTTCATTGTGCTTTCTTCTTCAACATTACGTTTTCTGCAGAAGATAAATCAAAAGAAATCCGGTTAGTTCATCTTCATATCTTCATAAACCAATAATTCTAACCTTTTTCTGAAAATACTTTAATACCATTCTACTTTCGGTTCTTATTTCTTTATTCAGATGCATCCTACTTGACTCTTCTATTTCTGGTTCGATTTCTCCATATATGTTTTTAACATAAAGGAAACTGCCCCTTTATGTTCAACATATATGTTCTGTTTGTATAGATCTTGAGAAATAAGCTTGATATCCCATAGCTATCTGTTTTTGATTTGTTTATTCCATTCTACTTTCAGTTCTTATATAAAATTGTGCATAAATGGTTAATGTTTTAAATAATTGCTTCAATCGTCCACTTTAAAAAATATACATATGGGGCGGTGGTGCTTACTTTCTTTTCGGAGAATAGTTTTTTCCAACATTTATATTTTAATTTCTGGATGTCATTTAATGTTTATTTCGTGATCAATTTCCTTTAGGGCGTGTTTGGCAAAAATAGCTGTTAGCTGGAAGCGGGTAGCGGTTAGCTGGTAGCGGGTAGCTGGTAGCGTGTAGCGGGTAGCTGGTAGCGGGAAGCTGTAGCTTTTATTTGTTATATGAGTGTTTGGTAAAAGTAGCTGGTAGCTTTTGAAATAAATAAAATTACATAAAAGGACAATTGATTAAAAATAAATAAATATATAAATATATTTTTAAGGGTAATTATGGAAATTGATTTCAAAAGCTAAGTAGCGTTTTGTTAAACGTTACATGAAGTAGCTTTTAGATTTGGAGCGTTTTGTTTAAACTAAAAGCTAAACGCTCATACTGCCAAACGAAGCTTTTTGTTTAAACTAGAGCGTTTTGTCAAAAGCTAAAAGCTAGAAGCTCCCAAACGCTTCCAAAAGCTCCGTGTCAAACACGCCCTTAATAAATATGTCATATGACAACACAACACAAAAGCAATGTGTTAGTTTAAATTAAAATCTTATAAAAACTCTCTTTCTCTCTGTCTCTCTTTAAAAAAATAGTTTTCAGATTCACAATCATTTGCTTCCACTATTTGGTGACACAGTCTTTGTTTTCTACCCACCCTTTGTTTTCTTTGACTATGTACTATGTAATTTTCAGTAGTGGGTATAAGGAAGAAAAAAATAGGTAAGTATGTAATAACCAATCCAAAACACACCACATTTAACAAATACACATATTCATAAACAACTTTATGAAGTCAATCTCTCTTTACATTACCTGATAAAGTACATAACCATCTACAAAGTAAATAAAAAAATTAGGCTGCAAAATTCATATCTACATACTATATTGCTAAAAACGAAAACAATAAATGATTTTATTTATTACTGATTTTAGTTAACGTATACATATTTTTCCGTTGATATTGTACATTAGTAAATATAAATACTTGTGAATATAATTACTCATGGGTTACACTTCTTCATAAATAAAAACGGTTCAGAATTTTTTTACTATAAATAAAATAATAAAATAACTTTTTGTATATCATTGAGATGTTTGTACTGTTTCTTTGTTGTCTATAATAAAAATCAAATCTTTTGTTTAGAAAATATTCCAATGTCATTATCTTCCCATTCTGCAAGCCAATTAATAAAAACCAAAATATATAAAAAGCAACAGAAAATGTGAATTAACAAAAGCTTTATACAATTTCTTTTTTAAAAAAGAAGAAATATACATATACCCGTATTTACAGAAAATGTAACAGGTGTGATGCATATTTTTTAAAACTTTTATGAAGCTTTATTGAAGCAATTCCAACTTGGACCATTGTGCCCCAATACAAAAAATTACCATTCTACCATTGGCATAATAACATATTACCTTTTTAATGAGTAATTTACCACTAGAACAAAAAATTATCACAGTTACAAAGTATGTTGCCCAAAATGGCAGTTAGAAGATGATACATTGCTATTTTCTACAATTCATCCAATTCTTTTCAATATTTCTTCTCATTTCATTGACTTTTCAAATTTTTTGCAGAAATATGGCTACTTCAAAGATAACATTCATAAAAGACATTGACCCAGTCAATTCGGATGTCACAATCACAGTAAAAGTATTGAAGTTATGGACACTCAATTCTAAATTTGATGCTAACGAAAAGTACTCCATCGAAATGATTTTCTTGGATAATTGGATGAACAGGTATATTCTTAAAATTTTAACATTTGGTAATTGTGTATGCTAATTATAATTTTTGTACAAAACTATATGAATTTTATCATTCATTTTTTTTAAATATACCCTTTGTTGACAAATTGCTAATTTTGTGTTGTATATTTTTTAGGGATCTCTAATTCAAGCTAATGTTTTCCAAAACTTATTTTATAAGTTTAAAAAAAGTCTTCGTGAGGGATATGCTTATGAAATTACCAACCTATCTGTTGAAAAACACAATCCACATCCGAATTCTACCATCTTTTCTGATCTTCCAAATAAAATTACCTTTGTAATGGAAACAGAAGTTAAGGATTCTCTTGATTTTCCGGGAAATGTTTTCGGATTATCTTTTGTGTTCAAGGAAGTATTTCAAAACCTATGTTAAACTCTTATGTTTGTTTTACTTATCAAATAAAGTTGTACTTATTTACCATCCAGAATCAAATGCTTTTTTACAGTTATTAATTTTTTTGGTGTATAATTTTTTTTAACTTACCTCCCGTGGTTTCCACGTGTTATAACCTAGTTTTGTAAATATTGAAGGGGTCATCCAGGAAAATGAAATAAAATCCTAAAATCACCTTCCTTCCGGTGAATACTTTTTTGGGAAAATAACTTATAAGACCAACAAGTTTCCAAACCATTCAAAAAACCCCAATTCTGTTTTGTCTATACAAGAAAACCCAACTCACTTAACATTTTGTCTAAAATAGCCAACTAACTTACACTTTTGTTCAATTTTTATTAAGGTCAACCGGCTAATGAAAGTCAATGAATGACATGACTTATGACGTGAAATTAAATATCTGGAAAATAGCTTGTAAGACCAACGAAGTTACGAAACCGTTCAAAAAACCCCAGTCATGTTTTGTCTGTTCTAAAAAAATCCAACGGACTTAACCTTTTGTCTAAAAAAACCCAACGGACTTACGTTTTTGTTCAATTCTTATTAGAGGCAATTAGATTCATTAGGTATACAATTAGTTGGAAAATGACATGACATCATATGCAATGACATGAAATAAATATATTAGAGTTACCCTTTATATATCGATTTAGGGTTTGGAGAAGAGAAAAACGAATGGTGTATGTGTTCGTTCTCTTGTAATGGCTACTTCTTCTTTTTCCTCTCATTTATTGATGTCCAACTCAATACCTACAAACAAGATCTTTGATGATGCAAACCCTTGTGGATGTTGACGCCCTTCTCGGATTTGGACATCTAGAACGAAGGTTCATCTAGAGAAACAGTTTAGGGTTTGTTTGAACAGATGGGTAAGTATAATTGAAAGCTTTAACATGTCCATCTTCTATCTATTTGGTTGATTATCTTAATAAGTTTTTGTTTTTGAAGGAACCAAACAAATAATTCTTGTCTTTGAAGGAACCAAACAAATAGATTGAAGAGGGACATGATAAAGCTTTCAATTAAACATACCCATATGTTCTGGATGA